TATGCAGTCCCACTCCTAGATATATGCCCAAGAGAACTGAAAATACATGTTCACATAAAAACCTCCACATGAATGTTCACAGCAGCATTATTCTTAATAGCCAAAATATCAACCCAAAATAACAACCCAAATATCCATGAGCGGATAAACTAGATGTCATATACCCAAACAATGGAGTATTCTTTTAGCCATAAAAAGGAACGAGATACTGACATGTGCTACAACTTAGGTGAATTTGGGAAACATTAAGCTAGTGAAAGAAGCCAGACAGGAAAAGTCACATGTTGTTTGATTCTCTGTTTATGAAATGTCCAGAATTGGCAAATTCATGGGAACCAAATGTGGCTTCGTGGGTACTAGGGGCTGGAGGAAATGAGGATTGGCTACTAAGGGCATGGTGTTCCTTTTGGAGTGTGAAAATGTTCAGGAATCATACAGTGGTGACAGTTGTACAGTCTGGGAATATACTAACAACTGCTGAATTGTTTAATTTAAAGGGGTGAATTTTATGGTATGAGTTATGCCTCAATAAAGCTATTTTAAAAAGGAGGTTGAGAACTTATGCAGCATCATGGCATGAGACAGGGGCGAGCCAAAAGGAACCAGGGAAGTCCGGCTCTGGAGCCTGAAGTTTTACCTGTTCTCCATTCGATATCTCTAGGGAGAAAAAATATACTAGCAAGTATACTATTATTTATCATTTATTTACTCCAAGGACATAATTTAGTGCATGGGGAATGGCCAGACTGAAGACAATCTTCCAAGAAGAGCTTTCTCAAAAACAGAGCTTTTGATAATAATTAATCGGTTATATTGAATTATAATCACTGGCAAGAGCCTAGAGGGTATGTCCTACATTGCAGATAAAAGCATTCTCTCACAGCTAACATTCAAACCGTCATAAATCTTGGCTCTGTCTTCAAACTATGCCCAGAATCTGAGCCCTTCTCACTGGTCCAGCATCACCTCGGTGCGGCCTGCCCTCATCTTTCACCAAGATGTTGCCAAGTCCTCCCAACTGTTCTTGTATTCCACGTAGTAGGCAGAAAGGTGCGTTAAAATGTATGTCAGATCATTCTTCTGCCTGCTAAAAACCTGCTGCGCTCAGTATAAAATCTGCAATCTTTCCATGACATATAAAGTGCCCTAAAATCTGCTGCCATCTCCTATCTCATCTATTGTGCCCTTTGCTCATTGCACCCAGATATTCTGGTCTCATGTCCCAAACAGGTCTGCTCATACTTCAGTAGCTGCACTTACTACGCAAAGAACACATGCTACCTTCTAGGTAGTATTTACCCCAGAAATCCACATGACCCCTTTACTGCATTCACATCTTCCCTCAAACTTCACCTTAACAGACACATCTTTCTCAAACACCTTGCCTAAAAAATATGCTAACCTCTTGCTCTGCTTATGTTTTTAACAGCACTTATCACCACCTGATTTTTATGTATTTGTTTATTGTCCTTTTCAGGAACCACTCCTAAATAAGTGGAATAGAAAATATTTGCACACCATATATCTCCTAAAGGGTTAATATCCAAAATATATAAAGAACTCATATACCTCAATAGCCAAAAATAATTATATTAATACTAATAACCCAAGTAAAAAATGGGCAAAGGACCTGAAAAGACATTTCTCAAAGAAGGCATACAAGTCAGCCAACGCGTATATGAAAATGTGTCCGTCATCACTGACCATCAGGGAAATGCAAATCAATGAGTGTCCTCTCATGTCTGTTAAGATGGTTATTATTTTTTAAAAATAAGGTAAAAACTGTTGATGTGGAGAAAAGGGAACCCTGGTACACTGTTGGTGGGAATGTAATTCCGTACAGTCACTATGCTTCCATAGATGGACCTAAAGAGCATGTTGCTCAATGAAACAGGCCACCTGCCTAAAGACTAACACTTTATGATCTGCCTACAAGTAGGATCTAAAATAGTCACAGCCATAGGAGCAGAGTGGACAGGGAGCTAGGACTGGAAGGGAGCATAAGATGGGGAGATAATGGTCAAGTGGTAGAGAGTTCCAGTTACGCAAGATCAATTCTGGAGATCTACTGTATAGCAGAGTGCCTGTAGCTAAATAGTATTATATTGTTCTGCGTACCTATAATTTACTAGGAAGGTCAATCTAAGTGCTTCACCACCTACACAGAAATGACGATAATAATAAAGGAGGCAGGACGAAAATTTGGGAGGCACTGGGGATATTTATTATTGCCTTGTTAATGGCTAAGGTCTCATGGGTATACACTTTTCCCCAAAGTCGTCAACTTGTATACATTACAAATATACAATATCAATTTTTTTCCAGCTTCATCAAGATATAATTGACAAAGTTGTAAGAGATTTCAAGTGTACAACATGGAGATTTCATACATGTGTGCACTGTGAGAAGGTTCCCCCATCCGATTAACTAACACACCTGTCAGGTCACACATTTCTCTCTCTCTTTGTGAGAACATTTCAGTTCTACTCTCTTAGCAAGTTTCAGTTATATAAAAGTCTCTTAAATGACAGTCACCATGTGATGCCTCTTATCTGGCTGCCACCTTTCTCTGAAGATAAGCTGTTTGCGTGGAGGGGTTACATGCCTATGTGCAGTTGACACACGTATTTATGCCTGGTCCAAGGCTGGATTAGCAATGACCCCAGTAGCGGTGAAAAGTGGGCTGTATGACATCACAGACTATCTTAGACATGGTCGAGAAAGACAACTGGAAAGGAAATTCCTCACGGGCCATGTACTTGGTAGAATGGCGGCTTGAAGTCAGGATTTACACCAATTCCTGAGAGGTAGCAAGTCCACGTATAAAAAAAACAAGGATTCAAAAGGGGCAAAACCGGAGGATGACAGAAAAGTGGTTTAGAGAAATCACGTGGGTCATTCAGAACAGATCCAGTTCTGAACATAAGTAAATGGGTGCTTATCAGAGGTTCCCCACCATGGAATCACAGGCGTGAAACACGTGATAAATGGCATCTGTTCATTGTAGTTGTGAGTCTTCTTTCCCGTCCTGCCTCGCAGTTGCTGATGGAGATGCTGAATGAGGTTCATGAGTAAGGTGGTAACTATGATGAAGGTTTTATACATGGGCTCAGAAGTCTAGATTTCCTCCACTGAAGCCAGTAAGGCCACAACATCAACTAAGTGATCTTCCTTTCTGGGGATCCCGTCATCGCGTGGTTCCAGGCAGTTGCCCGGTAACAAGTGGGCAACTCGGATCCTTTTCTGATGGGGACAGGACAGTACTTGTTTTCACTGATAGAGCCAGGTGTTGATCTTTTTCTGTCTCAGTTGCCCCAGGAACTATTGCTACCCATAGGCTTATTGAATATTTCATTCACCACCATGAAATACTGTACAGAACTCTTTCCAACCGAGAAATTTGTCTCAGACTGAAAGAAGAAAGGCGTAGGTATATATAGCATCGATGATTTAATCAGGCTTTATCATCCACGGATGGTAGACCCTACGGATCGGCCCTTTGAGAACTGCATTCTGACACCAGCTGAGGGATGCTGGTCTGCGGGGGCTGGTGTGCTGAAAGCTGGATGTGACATATTAGCTGGAACGGATATCAACACTGACATTCTCTTCCATCTGCTGGGACTCTCTGCTAGCCAGTCTGGGTAATTTGTGACTCTAGACAGGCTTTCTAAGCAGAAAACACTGTCATTATCTTTGTCTGGGATGATCAGTTCTGACTGTCAAGGGAAACAGAGTTGCTGACACATAGTAAGGGATGAGATGGTAGGTGTCTTGTGATTCCATGTTTCATTGTTCACTGAGGCAAAGGTATTGAAAAACTCTTACAATCTCATCTGTTTGGATTTTCAAGGTCTCATACCCATCCTAGTTTGGCCAACTGACAAACTCTCATGTGGACCGAGAGGGAAAGAAAGCTGAAACAAGTGACAGACAGGGAGGAAGGTCAGAGGCTGTGGACCAACCACAGAAGTGGGGCCTGTGACCCCACCTGTATGTAATCATTATTCACCTTTTGTTGGCAGTTACCAATACACTAACATGCCGGCTTGCTCCCCCCACCACTCGACATGGTGTTTACTGACAGCTGACTTGACCGTTAGGCCAGGTGATATGGAAAGGCAAGCAAGTGCATAAATGGATTATGATAAATTGGGTTGGGAAAGGAAATGAGTGTTAGTAACTGTACATGTTTTACTTACATAAATAATGAGCAAGGTACATTTGGAAACATATGTATAGGAAGAAGCGTATGTGTGTGAGGCGGCCACGTGGTAGGACGTACTAAAAATGCCAGTCGTGATGCTGCTGAACCTCGACTTCTCTAGCTATGGAACCATCCCAGTGGCAGACAGACTACGAGTAGAGGAGTGGGTTAGGGGGAGTGACATTTAGTTTAGTTTTGGTCTTGCTGAGTTTGTGGTGTCTGTCTAGAACATCCAGTTAGAGACGTAGATTCGGAGTTGTATCAACAGGTCTGTAATTCAAAGAGGGGCTTGGGGCTACAGGCTCAAGACTGGGAATCTTCACTGTGTGAACACACTGACCTCTGACCTGCGTTGGTGAACTCGCTCATGGAGCCTGAGTGACATGAGAAGAGGAACAGGGTGCAGCTTGGGTGAGCTGAGATGGAAAGGCGGTCCAAGGCGAAGGCGTCTAGGGATATAGGCGTGCTAGGAGGTCACAGAAACTGCCAGAAAAATGTCCCAGAAAGGAAGAGTGGGAATGATGCCAGACCCTCCTGACAAAAGTACAAGGCAGCTACTGGTGCCCTAAGCAGAGGGAGTTGTCACAGAGTAGAAGGGGCGATGCAACCAGGGTAGAGAAGGAGGAAAGAGAACAAGAGCTGTCATGGTCCCTCCTTGCAGCCGTGAAGGAAAGGAACGCACAGGACAAAGGCCCCATTCGATGCAGGGTGGACGGAGAGCTGTGACACGACCCAGCTTCTCCTCGCCTTGTAGGGCTCTCACAGCTGTTGAATAAATACAAATGCTCACTAATTGCTTGCAAAGTTGTATTTATTTTTTAGATCCAATCAACAAGAGAACAAAATACCTTACAATAATAACTCACTTTTTGAGTGAGCTATGAATGCTTAGCTACTCTCACTAATGAATGGTTATTTCTGTTCACTCATAAAATAAATATGGCCTGTTCCTACTGGAAAGTTAATGCTAGCATTATCTCATTGTTGAGCATATGTTTGAGCAAGAACACGTCGTGATGTGCCTGTATCTGTAAGGTATCACTCCGCCATCCGGACAGTCAAGCTCAATTTGTCTGAACTCATACTTTTCTTCTCGGCAGCAATGGCACGAATTTACCAACTGGAAGATTTCATAATTGTAGCTAGAAGAAAAGAAAATTCAGTGATAAATGTTTTGGGAATGTCTTCTGAAACAGACATCAGCGCTCAGATTCTAACTGTCTAAGGGGTTTAGCAATCCTTCCGACCCATTAATTCTTTGCCTACACATTGCACTTCCCCCTTCACTATGAACTGCTGATGTGGATCACTGATTATTGGTATGTAAGAACAAAAGAAATCCCAAATGGAGACTAATAATCTCATAACTAGAGCACTATGGTGCAAACAAAACGAACAATACAGAGTTTTAAACATATAACTTAACACCAAATGATTACTCTCCATATAGTAATCTGTACATGAAAGTGTATGTAAGGAAAACCATATTATGTTATGTCTAAAATGCAAGTGACAGTTTAAACATGCACCTTTAAGCAAGAATATTTGCTTAAGCACTCTCTGCAATCACTGTGTGGAAATAAATATATTTGCCATAAGGGCATCATAATTGATATATTTAGAAAACTACTTCAAAGTGAGTCATCACTATTGAAAAGGTTGACTTTATTTCTCAGATCTTAATATGTCAGATGTTTGTTTCATTAGGTCCTCATCATCAGTTTCTCATGTAAAAAACTGTCCGTGTAATGTTTTAAGAGCTCAGTTTCTTCCAGGATGTCATAAAGCGAATGCTCGGTGCACGCCCCATGCAAACCCACCTGATGGTGGTTCTGCACTCCCCCGTGCATCTGGCCATCCTGACTCTTCTCTTACAACCGTTGTACTTGACGGTCACATTCACGAGTGAAGTCCTGCATTTTGTGTTACCTGAGACAAAGCGGGCAACGGTTGGAAAGGAGATTCGCCGTGAACGACGAGCAAGCCTCGGTTCTGCCGACCGTGAGGCGGAGAACAGGTGCTCCGCACTGTCACTCATCGGACCGAGCACCTCAGCACCCAGCGCAAGGTGCCTGAGGAACACTCAATAAATGTCATCTTCCTGTACTGCTGTTGTAATGATTATTGCTGTTATTATTCATAGGAGAAGGGCGAGGAAGGAACAGGGAGAAAGGGGACAGGAAAGAAATGGGGGCTGGGAGGGGAAGACAGAGGGGGAGAGATTGGTTTTGACTCCCATTTTCTTGTTGCCGATCACCCTTGTGACCTAACATACCAACTGAGAACGTAACCTCCTGGTGTTAGGAGAGCAAGTTAATTTTTTTTCCATGAAAATTGAAATTTCTCCCATGTAAAAATGACTGTTTTTTACTGGGAATAATGCTGCAGCCAACATGAAAAAACAACTCTAATACATTATGTACAAATACCAGTTCTTCGTTTATACCTGCATATTGGATTACCTGTTGTGTTAAAAGCACAAGAGACTTTCTATTAATGATATGCCATTTTGTCTTAAAGAAACACTACATTTTTGTCAATAGTTCACCCATTTCCTCTATGTAGGAAGCTTGATTTACTCACATGTATAGCAACATTTTCTTGCATCATAGATTCTGTCTTCCTACAGGGGTAAGAGGAAAAGAAAAAGAACTGAAAACCTGTACTTTTCTGTAAATAATATAACATTTCTTGGCTTGTTGACAGGGCATCACAAAGGGGGGAAATGGAATAGACAAATATCCTATCACAGATCCAGTAAGCTTGAGTGGGGAGCATAGTAATAAAAGTGAGATTTAATAGTTACACGAAAATTTTCAACAGTGGGTAGAAAGGGAAAAACAATATATCACCTAAATTCTTCTTTAAAATAAAATGCAAACAAAAAAATTTACTCACCTATTTTCATTGAAAAACACTTTAACAATAATATTACTACTACATACTGTAAGGGGCTCACAGGCAGGATTTTTTACCTTAAACACGATTATAATCTCAAAACTATTAAATGTCTCAACATAAAAACACACTAAATGTTAAATCCAATATTGGAGTTGTAAAATAAAGTTTAACTTTTTAATCAATTATATCTTCAGAAAGAAAAATTAGTGAAGTTAAACCTTCCTTATATGTAAAATGTAAACATTCACTAATACAAAATCTTCACCATATTTTGGGGGGATAAAAAGGAAGACTGTAACAGAAAGAAAGATCTGAAAACAATGCGTGATTATATGATGCATTTGCATTTCCATAGAAAATGATTAACTTGAATCCATGAGATGAGCCTTGGGAAAAAAAAGTAGCTGTTTTTTTTTTTGGTTTAAAATAGCAACATGCAATCTCCGGTAACTTACTTCTATATCTTGGACATGAAAAATACACTTGGACATAAAAAAAAGTGGACGGCATATCTGAAATGGGATCGCCAAGAGACTTATGTCTCTGCACCAGACACAAACTTTTCCAAATCAAAAAGACAGGCTGTGCCTATGTCCATTCACATGAGAGGGGCCTCTGGTTGGCCCATGACTTCAGAAGATGACTTACCTCTACACACCAGGACTGCTTTGGACAGGCTTGGACCAGGGTGACCAGGCCGCTGTGGCGGCAGGAATAGGAGACGCATGGATTGGTAGGGTCATTAAATGAAGCTCCGATCTATAGGGTGGGGGTGGCGGTTGTGGGGGGAGAGAACACAATAATTATTCACCTTGATTTCTCATTAGCGTTGACTGTAAAATGTGCAAACAAAATTCAAATTCATAATGTTCAGTGAATTTCCAGAGGCACTTTCAGCCACTAGGCTAATATTTAAGATAAGGTGGGATGAAAGCCCTTTACTTCCATCAATAAATTGAAGTTCCTCACTTGAGAGCACAGAATGTATCAAGATTCTCAATCCTCAAATGAAGATTCACCTGTAGTTAACTCCGTTATATTTTTCAAGTACTTTCAAGAAAGGTTATTTTATATTGGGCAGGCAATTGACAAATTGTTATGCTCTGAATTCCAGAGAAAAAGAAGAAGTTGAAGTGGGAAAAAAATGGCACAAAATAGGTCTATTAGAGTAGCACAAATAACAGGTCCCACAGACATCTGACTTTTATCTCTACTGATGTTCCTATACTTTTAAAGCTCCAAAAATTGCTTTATAATTAATTTGTGTTCAAAATTCAAACACCAGTTTGGGAAACTGTATTTATTTCAGGGCCTCAAACTACAAAATGAGCTTTCTGATGAACTGGAATTTTATTATTTCAACTGTTTGGTATATGCACGAGTAGAGGTGAAACTTTTCCTTTGATCTTTAAACACCATCCTATTTTATGTTTAAAAACAGTCCTAGAGTCTAAAGTCAGATCACCTTTGGAAGCTAAAAATTAAGAAGCCCAGATGGGAGTTTGAGTGTGATAAATGAGTTATTAAATTAAAACTCTCATAGGTCTTTTATGTATCCCCTAATGTAACACAAATATCTTATCTTATATTTTTTAAGTATTAGTATCACCAGTTCAAATATATTAACATCATTTTGAGGATCATCTGGTTTTTATGGCTTCCTGATACTTTTTCCAGAAAGTTAAAATTACTTTTCAAAATGCAAATCAGTTGTCAAAATCTGGCCCTGACTAGACTGCATTACTGTGACCACATAATGGGGTTCTGGTCTTTTGGACTGTCCTATCTGATCTCTGACAGTTTGGTCATCTGATCTTTCTGGTTATAATGACAATTTAACTCTGTTCATAGGTTTGAATGTCACGAGGCTTATCTTTTCCATCTCCTGAGACCCTTGGAAAATTTTATTCAGGAGCTCTGTTACTTAGTATCTAATGATCAAGTATATTTTCCCCTCCAAAGTGAGCCATGCTGAGTGTTACATTTGATGTTCTGTTTAAAATGAATATAGGAAAAAAAATGAACACATTCTGTTTCACCATTACCTGTGGCTTTTTCATGTGATAAGCTGAAAGAGCCTGCATTTATTCAAAACTAGATTAATAAAAATACTTTAAAGTAGAAACAATCTTACCCTGTAGTCAGTATTGTTAAAAAAACACGTTCTTGGTTCTGAAAAAGAAACACATTATTTTATCCTAAGTTAAGCACTGTAATTCTTTTTTTTATTTACAAAATAGAAATCGTATATGGGATCTTCTTTATCAGCCATTATAATGTTTCCTCCCATAAAACAATCATCTCCCTTTAATCTACTGATCACATTCATAACTGGTAATTATGGGTTTTCTCTAGTTCAAAGATAGTAAGTTTTAAGAAGGCAGGCACGGAATCCAGTTTTGTTAAACACACCCATCTTGTGTACTGTTTGACACATATTAGTAGCTCAATAAATATCTCTTGAATCTGTGAATAAGTGAACAACAGTTCAATACGACTAACGTATTATGAATACACACCACAGCGTCCAATTTCACAGCAGGTATCATCAGCTTTGAACTTTATAAGCCGCTCTCCGGTTCTGCACTTGGGTGGAGAAGGGCACCGCTTGCGTTTACAGTCTACAGTCTTTGCAGCCGTACACTTGCATTTGTGGCAATTGACAGTCCATGTGTCTCCAGGCTATGGATACAAACCAAGTTCAGACTTCTTTTTAAATGCAAGAATGACAGCAAATTTGGATTAAAGTAGAGAAAATCTGTACTTACAGATTTCCTTTCTCCCAGTGGACCGCGACAAACTGGTAACATGAAATGATAAGTATTAATTAAGTTTGGCAAAATATAACCATCTGTTATTTGTAGATAACTCTCAAGTGGCCAACCCTATAATTGGCACTAGGATCTCAGAGGCACACAATTAGGGAGGACTCTGTAGTGTCTACGGTGAATAAATCACTTTTACCTACTTTGAGCAAACTGTCCCTGACAAGCATCTCTCTCTCTGTTTCTCTCTCTCTCTCTCTCTCAATCTCTCTATCTATCTATTTATCATCTATCTATCATCTGTCTATATTTTTCCTACTTTTACAATTTCCAGCAAAGGACAATTCTTGGTTTCTCCTGGCAGTGGTCAACAAATCTTATGGGTACTGTTTTACAGTCTGACTCCTGTCTCCACGACCCTCTAAGTCACCAAAACTTCATAATTATCACATTTTTAACTCTCACAGTTTTGGGAGAAAGGCTCTCTTTGTTAGCAGCTCTTCCTTCTCCCTCTCATTTTGTCTCTCTCCCTTCCCTTGGTACTTGCCCCAGCCTCCAGAGGGCCCCCTGGAACACCCAGGGGGTGGCCCCCAAACTTCCAGCTCCAGTCCTGGACCCCCTGACCTAGTAAACAGCACTCCAGCAGATATCTAAGAACTTCAAATTTGACGTGCACAAAATAAGTCGTGTCGTTGTGCCCCTAAAACCAGTTTCTCATCTAAACTGGATTCTTCCTGCTAAGGACTGAACTAGCCTTTCAATTATTTTAGCTTAAAATTTGGGAGTCATTCTGATTCCTTCTCCATCAAGTGGCACCCAATCTACTGGAAAATTCTCTATCTTCCTCCTTACTTCACCCCTGCCCCTTCCTGGTCCTGCCTGTTACCACATCACGCCAGGAACTCATCATCTTACCGTCTGGCTTTTTCAGGAGTTACCTTGACTCAGACCTCTTCCTAATTCAATCAATTCTCTATACTTTAGGTAGAATAACTTCCCTAAAGCTCAGTTTTCATCTCATCATTGCTTTGATTAAAAACTTATGATGTGCAACCAATATAATATTGTATATCAATTATATTCCAATAAAAAAAACCCCACTTTTGACGGCTCCTTATATTCTTGTAGTTTCTGGCATCTGCCAGAATATTGCTGCAGCTGCTTTACCAACCCTGTCACACTTCCCTCATGTACATACCCTGGACTACATATTGTTCTCAAATTCCAACTTTAAAATGAAATACTGAGGATCCCTCCAAAGTATATAATACATGTAACATACATGGGACACATAACATATACTTTCTATATTTCTATTTTATATTTTTTACTATGAAATTTCCATCCTTACATGAAAATTGCCTGTATTTCTTTGAAGCTCTCCCTTCTCTCAGCATATTCGAAGATCAGGGAGTGATTTCTGTGGGTGACTTTTACGACTTTCTACGGAGCACATTCACTTGGTTTGAGGATAGTAGGAACTCAAAGTCCTCTACAATTGCTGAACTCTGGTTAACCTTAATTTTTCTTACTACAATTCAGTCCTCCACATAGCTGGAACTATCTAGTTTAAAAAATACTATCAAGTGGGAACATTTTGATCAAGACATCATATAATTACAGAGACACTGCCTACCTTCAGTCAGTAGGTAAACTCTATTTTGACAAAGTAACAAGATACATTTATTTGGCTCCATTAGTTTGCATGAGAAAAAAGACTATCATTCACTACTTAGGTGGTTAATAAGAGCTACATGCATTCACTTCAAATTTTCCTATTATATAACATTTCCATAGCTAGCAATTTTTATTGGCATGACTTCTGAAATTTGATTTGTAAGAACCGCTAATACAAAATGATTGATTTTCAAGTGGAAATATTCTTACCTGGAGGTTGAAGACATGCTGTGTAAAAAAAAAAACAACAACTCATATTAGTCTCTAGAATTATTGGAATAGTTTTGGGATAAATATAGTTATGTAATTACTGAAAATAATTGGCTACGTTACTAGTCTTACAAACAGACGTCTCTCCATCTCTCTCCCCTTTCTGCTCCTCTAGGCATTTGCAACCCTACCACTAAAGAGTGTTCCCTTTGGGTCTCAAGTTTTAGTGGGAAAGGGAAATGAGAGTCTAAAGGAGAAAGGCGGAAACGGCGAGGTAACCTCGTACTTCAGCGTTTTCACGGGAGACAGTTCTGATGAAAAGGACAATAAAATATGTCATCAAAGAAGGAAAAGGATAGCTCAAATATAGGAGAAATAGAAGTATTATTCAATTATCTAGTAGTCATTTAAGAACTTTCATCCTCTTTTGATCTTCTTGAAATATTTCAGTCTTGCTCTATCCCCACCCCCACCAAATGGTTTAACCTGGCTATATGGTCCTTTCCGAGCCCTCACACGTCACCTACTTTGGTCAATCCAACAATTCACTCGTAAACTTCAAATTCTATTTCCAAACTGCTAAAAAATCCAATCAATATTTTAATTATACCTACCAAGTGAAAGGCTGACCTAAAATCAACAGAATATTTGAGAGGAACTTAACATTTCAATGTTCGGGTAAAGGGACCCCAACACCTAATAAGTACAGAAAAATGGAAAGGAAATGAGAGACGTGGGAGTTTGGGGGATCAAATGTCTTTGTTTACTGGAGGAGGCTAATGTAATCCCCAACTACGAATGCTCAGCAGATCAGCAGAAACCAGCAATAGAAGGGAGAATGATCTGTGAGGCATAAATACAGCGAAGATCTTCACTGACCAGACTTTCAAGAGTTCAGCAAAGGTATTTGTAAGAAGAGGGACCACACAGAACAGCCATCTCCACATTGTCACCAGAGCGATTTCTCTAAAACACTTACTTGATCATAACATTCCCTTCATGAAATCCTGGAGGGGGTCCCATTTCATGTAAGGACAACGTCTCTTAATTAAGTTTGGAAATAAGGAAGGTCTTCCCTGAACTTCCTTGTACTTCCCTCTCCAGTCTCGTTTCTTCCCTGAACGTCACACAATCATTACCAATATAGGTTGACTCCTAAATGCATGCTGTCTCATTTCTCTGCCCTTTCAAAGTCTGTTTGGCAGGAATTCCATCAGCCAATGTTAAACTCCATCATCTCCTTTCTGATGCCTTCACTAAACATGACCAACTAATAAGTAGAAATTGACACTCTAGTCTAACTGCCCCTTCCTCCTGGGGGCCATAATTGGTGTACATGTTTTGGGGTTAGCAATAAATACACTCTATTACACAGTATCTGTGCCCGTGATAATTTCCCCCCACTACACACAAAAGTAAAGAAATGGCAAGGTCTGACTATTTGGGTCAGCTATTAAAAAAAGCTAGTTGCATATGTAACAAAGACATTAGGACTTTTCCCGTACTGACCTGTTTGATTTTTAGTTTTTTTATCTGTTGTTGCTTCTACGGTGGTTTCTGAGGAGAAATAAAAGGATGGTGTTGTCATTTTAGTTATTAGAATAATGCGTATAGACATCAAGTCTGTGTGTGTGTATGCGTGTGTGTGCACAAACAGCGCACAAATTCGTGCTCAAGGAAAGCTTGTGTGGAACAGACAATTCATTCCAGTACATTTGGGTCATTTTGTTTTACCTTTGTGGGACACATGGGAGCTTTCGGTGATTCCAACTGACGTTGAGGAGCCTGCAAAAAGAAATATTTTTTTAAAAATCAGAAATAGCACATTTTATAATCACATTCTCAGAGATCTCAAGCTATCTAACTAAGTCTTTTGGAGATGAATTCTGCTGAAAGCGTAACCTAAAAAAATCCTAGAAAGGAAAAAAAAAAATTCCCTAGTTGAACCTCAAAGTCATGGTCCAAGGGGAAACTGAGCACGATCTTCCTGCGCTCTCTCTCCCACTTCTTCCCCGTCACTCCACTCCTGGAGCTCAACTCTGTGTGCATAACCACGGGCACGCGCATCGCTGGAGTCCCGTTGCCAGCATTCATCTCTGGCAATCCATTCCCAGAGGCCTGACTCCTGTGGAGCCAGTGACTGCTACGGGAGGAACCAAGAGGTGAGAATGGGGGACCAGAGTAGGTTTAACTTCAGAGAAGCTGTCCTGTCTTCTGCGATGCTGTCAGCCAAGTTCACTTACCATTATTTGACTCACCTGTGGTGGAAATTCCAGGAGCAGCGGTTGTTTCAGGAGCTTCACTGGAGGTACCTAAATGGAGCAGAGAAGAGCAGTGACCTTGGCCTCTGAGTAGCATGTCCTAAGACATCTCCACATGGAACAAGAGTCTCAAAGCTTCTGGAGAGTTCTGATGGTGCACCTATTCATGCTAGCTCACGCTCCCATCCTTGAAACACAGGAGGCCCCTACATCAGCAACAACTTACAGAAGTGAAGTGAATATTTTCCCATGACCTTTGTAAAATTTTCACTTATGGGTTCCCTTCTCTAAATGACAAGAACTTTTTTCACACTTAACTCTTTTACTTTGTATAACTTGGTTTCTGATTCTCCTGTATTTGTTTTTGGGAAGAGAAGTTAAGACAGAGGCAGGGAAAATAAGAACACATCTGTGCTGATCAAGATGGCCTCAACATTCCTCCCAGTTTGACTGAAGTTTTGATAGGTTTCTTCCTGAGTATAGGCCCCTGGACTCCCTTTTCTCAGAGCTTTTACTTTAGAAAACTCGCAATTCTAAATTCTTTCTCTGCCCAGTTGAGATGTAAATCTTTCCCCAGCCTTTGGCCAGTTTTACAATCCAGGAATGTCTTTCTCAAAAGGGAGCTATCAAGAACAATAGCAGCCCTATCTCTCTGTCTCTGTGGGAAGGTAGGAACCTAACCTCCTTCTACAAGCACAATTAGCAAAAATGGATGGCCTAAACCAATAGACCAATCTGTCCTCTAACACCCTAGAGTATTTCACCCTCAACTCACCCCAGCCCTTCAAAACTCCCCTGCCTTTTGGTTTAGTAGAGTTGTGTTCAAAATCTCACTCCCATTGCAATATTCTTGACCCCAATTAGAATGATCTTAAATGCAGTTTTCCTTGTCTGTTTAACTTCATCTGGTCCAACTTTTACAGTTCAGGTTTGGCAGTCATTCATACTGACAAGTAGTGGTTACCAAAGGAATAAAGAATCCACATGGCTGATGCGTTTGCCATTCTGAGAGAGAATGGCCGACCACAGGACAGACTGGATGGTGGCACATCAGCCTTCCTGGGATCGCCTATGGAGGTGAGGGGCATTCTCTATTTTTAAATTCAGGGCCACAATAAACATATCGGTTCACTGTCCAGACTTGGTGATTTACTTCCCTAGCATTAAATATCACAGGTCTCTGGGCCTTTCTCATGTTAACCTGTTTTACTTCCTAATGGCAAGAAATAGAAACAATATTTGTGTAACTGTATTTAATTGTATTCAGTGAATAAACTCACGACATCTGAAATCCAAGTTTTGAATAAACTTAATGATCTCTGCTTCCCTAAACAGACCTATATGAATATATATGGCCTCTCTCTGACACCGGGGTAATAGCTTGAATGTCAAAACAGGAAGTGTTTCTGGACTCTCCTCTTAAGAATTACAGTATAAAGTTTGCCCCCAGAGGAAATGATACAGTATTCATAAATATAAGCTTTTTTAAACAAATATCCCCATGAAAAGACAAAGGCAGAATACAAATTAGCAGGAATTCAAGAGCTGCCAACTCCACTTTCATTGCTATGCTTCCAAAAATAGAAGTTATCATTTCTGAGTGTGAAAAGAAAGTAGGAAGGGACAACAGACAGTCCTAAAAACGTATCATGTGCTATTGCTCCAGAGATGGGCCATCTTCATGGAGCTTAACTTCAAATGGAAATGCTACAAAAGTGCAAAGCGGGAACTATTAGGAAAGAGTGAGATACTCTAAAGAGAGACTTCTTTTGCTTATCTTTTAAAACTGTTAAGTTTGGCATCCGTGGATGTTGTGCTGCCCTTGTGTAGCTCGGATTAGCACATAGTCTACAGGCACACGCCTGATCATCTACATTTGCCCTCTTACAGCACTGAACTATGTTTTCTACCTTTATCTTGCATCTACCTACCAGTTCAGCATGTTATTAAAAATAATAATAATAATAATAATAAGGGAGAAATGTGGGATTCACATATAAATCAAGTATAAAAGTCAAACGAATATTCATATTTGACCTGATTGTTTATAGTTCATGATGCGTGATCAAAACCGAAAGTTTCTGTGATGACTGCCCTTGCACTGTTCACCATGTAAGAACTTATTCACTATGTAAGAATTTGTTCACCATGTAAGAACTTATTCACTATCTAAGAACTTGTTCGTTATGCTTCAGAAGATCGGAGACTGTTGAGAATTAGGCTTGGGGTGGGTTACTGATTGTGCATTGAGCCCCCTATACAGAATTTTATTGTTGTTAACAACCATCTGATCAATAAATATGAGAGATGCCGTCTCAAAAAAAATAATAATAATAATCACATAGTTCTCTTCAAATAGCCAAATTCTACACTGTGTTATGCCTTATGACCAGTGCCATCTGAATATTAAGGATGTTTGTTCCCCAATTAGTCAGTGTAATATAATGAGTAAAATGGAATACATGGAAAAACAACCTGTTAAGTTTAAAAAGAGGCAGCAGTATGTAATAAGAGCTAAACATTTTCATGAAAAGGATAAAAGACAACACTAATACTCTGGGAAATACAGTACTGCCTTTTTCTTATACAAGGAATATTTCTAAAGTTAATTATGATTGATTCTGTACATTTCTACACAATCAGTACAGAACTATTAGGTAAGGGATTTAATACATCTTGGATACAATTTTAAAAACGGTTAAGATTAGAAAAAGCAAAAGCTCTATGCTACCAAAATTTAATTTGAAGTTCATGTTTTACTAATCTGACCTTTAGGATCTATGCTATATTTTCCATAGTAGTTACTGTAAAAATTATTTTTTCAAGTGCACATTTACAATCTTGTATTTCCTTACTAGTTACTTCAGGCTGTTTTGAAGGCACTGAAATTTAAAAACACAAATGTATTTATGAATACACACTTTAAATTTATCTCAATTCATAAAGATTAACTTGTATTAAAATATAACTTGGGGAGAATTTCAGAACCCCCTTAGGTGTTTTCCAGTGCTCAAATAGAAAATAAAGAAATACTATTTCAAGCCACATATTTTTATCATTTTAATTTCAACCTTCCTACAAGTGAGTTCTGGTAGAATTTTGCTATCTGAGCCTCAGAAAGGAAAGATTAAATTCATGTTTTAATTAAAGAATATATTTGAATTTCATTTTAAAAATTCACTTCAGTGCTTCAACTGCCAGGATATATAAAATTTTTTATTAAAAACAGAAGTATGCTATTTCCATAGAGGTTTATTTTAGAAATTCATCAGGGTGAGCCATCTCCTGGGAGAGAAATTATAAAGTGATCTAAGGAATCATCTGTGAATTACTATTATCAAACTAAGAACAAAACCATTGCCTCTTTCCCAGCTGAACTATTTACACATGTAATTCTTGTTTGGTTCCATTTAATTAAAGACTAAAGTCTTGAAAACGGAAAATACACACACAATACACTGAGCCCCAACAATCACATACTAGAGCCACAGCATGCATTTATAATTAGGGTGTTCAATATGTAATATGAAGCACACCAATTCATTTACATTTATGTGACCATAGATGGAATAAAGAATAACTATAAACTTAGTCTGAATCAAATTATTGATTTTCTAGTGACTAGTTTGTAAAATATATTTATATAAGGAGAATTTGTAATAATATAATAAATGTAGCATAAATCTTTACTAGAAAAATGTATAAGCAATCTATTCCTTAAATAATACACAATTTATTCACTAAAGCCTACGGTCTGTTTCATGACCTGCAAATTGAGAAATGATGTCTTTCTCAAGTACTATGAGTATATCATGGTCTGGAATCTTAATCATATACTGTAGTTTTGATATAAAGAAGTAAGTCCATTTATTTTTAGGGAAAATTGCCTTATAAGTATTTGTGAATTTTACATCAGTTTGGAATAATTATTAAAAGAAATAAACTTATACAATTTTGACTTATAAAACAGTATTATAGTTTTGTCAAATAAAATGCCCTGAAACATGCTGTTTTAGAATGGCAAATGCCAGTTTGTCATTATAGAAAAAAAAAATTTAAACCTCTTTTTATGACCTGCTGCTATAGTTTTTACAGTTAGAAGGGGTAAATTTTAAGTTTTGCAAATATTAAAAGCTAGCTTTTATTAGTGGGTCATTAAAGATCATTATATATGTGAATTAGAGGAGAATGGCATGTGGTAAAAAGCACAGTCTTTGGAGTCAGTAAACAATGCATAAAAATATCTGCTCCACTATTTGATTTACTGTAAAACCTAGTCCAACTTAGGTAATATCTTTTCTTAAATTCCTCCTGAGTAAAATGAGATAACGATATATATTCAAATAGTCAGATGACATAACACATGTAATGACATTGTACTTATTTCATTGGTATTGTTTTAAAATATTTTACTTTTTTAAATTGGCCAATGAGCATAAAAACAAGTCAAAACATACATCTGGCATCTCCTGTTTACTGACCAGTAGTGGGACTTCCTAGTACAGTTGTTGAGCCAGGAAGAGTTACTGTGGAACCTGAGATTAAAAATGGAAAGTCATGAGCAGTGTGCTTGTTTTACTGGGACACACCCTGGACATTTGACAGTGGAACTACGTTGAGTCCAGGTGCTGTAGTTCCAGTGCCTGGTATGAGAGCATCTAATAAATAGCAGATGACTTGGATCTGATTTTCTGATTTCTATACAAACAATCCATTATTACATTTACTAAAAACTTGAAGTTGAGCTACAACATGAGCCGAGTTACCCTTCCCACTCACCTGATTTTCCAGGTGTGATTAATCTAGCCATTCTTTCACCTGCTTTAGTGGTTTCTCCATATTCTTCTTTAGTTGTACCTAGTTAAAAGGATATTGATTATTGTCTTTACATGCTTCATTACAGTAAACCTAAATTTAATGCCATTACAGTAAATTTCAAATTTAGATCTTAATAATAAACCCAGAATGTTTTTTAATGTAGAGAATAAAACTTTAATAGAGCACCAGTACTATATAAACATGTACAGGTAGAAAAATAAATCTTGTGGAAGTATCCCTGAAAACCCAAAACTATGCATTCTGTACAGCACTTGCTGATCACTTTTGAGATGAGACTGCTTTGTGGATCAGTCTATTGGCAGCCTGGTCAGTTTTCACACATTTCAGTTTTTATTCCTCACTTTAAATAGATTTGTTTCTCACGATTAAACTTGTTACTTATTAGTGAACATAAGAAGTTGAAAATTACACTGTCACTAATTAACTTTTTTTATTGTTAAAGCCTTTGTAAAGCAATCAGTTCCCCATATGGACTATTTTTGTCAAGTAGTGCGTTCGTTGCTTAGAAGCCTAGAATATCTCTTAACCATTTCTCTAAAAATGTGGTCCTTGATTAAATTAACGTAAACTCACTATCATGATTTGGGTCTCAGTTATGCTCATGTTAGACCACAAACTACGAAACCAGGTAGGCCTTGCCTGCTTGGTTCCAGAAGAGGAACAAAGACTGACTCTCTAGATATATTTCCTTTGCCAACACCTCTGGTAGCTCCAAATAACCCTCTGGTTACATCTGGTCAAAAAAAGGTAGCAAGAAAAAAGTACTAATTTCTTAAGATGGCAATGAAATCAATTTAAAACAACAATCAAAAAAGTTCAATCTTTATTGAACGATTTGAGTTCTAAATAGTAAAGGTATAAGTTTATATAGATTAAAAGAAGGCATTAGATAAAAATAATATTGCCTATATTAAAGCTTCTGATGTTAGGAAACTTGACTTGCCTTCAGATGTAACCTCACTTCCTGGAGGCAAAATTCCTTCTGCATCAGTGGTGACCTCAGACAGTGATCCAGTTGACCATGAGAGACCAGAGGAAGGTCCAGTAGTCTCTGATTCACCAGTTGATAATCTCCTTGTCACTAAGCCTTCAAGAGCTGACACAGGTGACTTAGAAAACCCAGGAGAGGAACCAGTAGTCTCTGAACCTATACCATCGGGGCTGGTTGTCCTTAATAGGTCAGCTGATGGTCCAGTTAAACCTGATGACACAGACGAGAAGGT